TGTCCTTGAGACCACATTCTCAGAACAACACCAAGACATTCTAGTGGAATTATTAGGCTATTACACTATAAAGGAAGATAAAAATCCTTTGGTGTTCAAAAGCAAAGAACATATGACTTATAAGAAGTATAAAAGTATATTACTGTCACTCTTTGCTAAGGCTTTATGTCAGGAAAGAATTAAGTGATATATTTAATGTACCCAAGGAATGAAAATTTAAACCAAGTGTTTTCTACGTAATGAAACAGATCTTTAAAATTAAAGAGCTGTTATCTACATACAAGAATTCAGGGAATATTGTTCCTTTTAAAGAAATCTAGAAAAGTAACCTGAAGTAGCCAAAAGGACCGAAAACCAGTTATAGAGGGGCCCTCTCGTTTGCTGAACTTCACCTCTAGAAGCTCTGCAAAGTCCTCACAGTGAGCAGAGAATACCCTTCCTATGCTTTGGCAGGGGAGTGGGAAATGTAGCTATCTTGAAATATTCCCCAGCATCTGTTCTTCCTGATAAGGCCTGCCCTCAGGAGAACCTGCTTTACCCCAGCATGCTCTGCCACAGTTTTCATCCAAGCATATCCAACCTTGGGGAAGGAAAATACCTCACTCCAATTCCCATTTGCCATCCTGTCCCATCTAAGGGGGCAGGAGAGAGAAGGAACTGAGAAACACTAGCAAATCTCCTACTCCAGGGACATGAGCTCACCAAAACACTGCCCCCTCATCATAAACTTACAGAACATTTCTCTCCCCTCAGACAATACTGCATTACTGAAGGTCTATTTATCTTAGTTCCTTGTACTCAGTACATCATGTCCATCTTTCAACAAAAGTTGCAAGCAAATTAAAAGCACGAAGCTTACTTCAAAGAGACAGAACAAGCTTCATAGCCAGAATCAGATATGGTAGGAATGTTGGAATTTCCAGATCGTTAATATTGAGAAATTATGTATAATATGCTAAGGGCTTTAAGAGAGGATACTAGACAACAGACAATGACAAACAGTGTGAGCAGAGAGATGGCCATTCTACAAAAGACTCCCATTAAATGATAGAGATCAAAAACACAGTACTGCGTAGTGAAGAATGTGTTTAATAGGCTTGTTGGTATACTGAAGATGGCAAGGGAAGCATCTCTGAACTTGTTGATATGACAATACAAACATTCAAAACTGAAAACCAAGAAACAAAGACTGAAGGAAAAACAAAAATCTAACCTAATATCCAAGAACTGTGTGGCAAAATTTTAAAACTCAAAGTTAATGGGTAAAATACCTGAAACAGAGACCTCACCGAAGAATATATACAGAAAACAAATAAGTGTATTAAAAACATTCAGTATCCTGCATCATTGGGGAATTGTAAATTAAAGCATGAGATTCTGCTACACACCTATTAGAATGGTCAAATTCTAGCACACAGACAACACCCAAAGCTTGTGAGGGTGTGGGGCTATGGTAAAGAACAGTGGGCAGTGGGTGCTTTGGCAGTAGGTATGGCATGGTGAGACATCCAGGAGGAGCGAACCTGTTCCTATAAATCATATACAATATTGTAAACCAATGTTAACTCAATAATAAAAACTTTTTTAATTAAAAAAAAATCACATGATGTTTGATGGTTGTCAGGGATTAAGGGAGAGGGAGGAATCACTAGGCAAACCACAGAGATTTTTAGGGCAGTGAAATTATTTTTTTTAATTTAAGATTTATTCATTTATGCATACAAGAGCTGGGGTACAGAATATATATAGAATATATACAGAAGAATATATACAGAAAAGAATATATACAAAGAATATATACAGAAGAATATATACAGAAAACAAATAAGTGTATTAAAAACATTCAGTATCCTGCATCATTGGGGAATTGTAAATTAAAGCATGAGATTCTGCTACACACCTATTAGAATGGTCAAATTCTAGCACACAGACAACACCCAAAGCTTGTGAGGGTGTGGGGCTATGGTAAAGAACAGTGGGCAGTGGGTGCTTTGGCAGTAGGTATGGCATGGTGAGACATCCAGGAGGAGCGAACCTGTTCCTATAAATCATATACAATATTGTAAACCAATGTTAACTCAATAATAAAAACTTTTTTAATTAAAAAAAATCACATGATGTTTGATGGTTGTCAGGGATTAAGGGAGAGGGAGGAATCACTAGGCAAACCACAGAGATTTTTAGGGCAGTGAAATTATTTTTTTTAATTTAAGATTTATTCATTTATGCATACAAGAGCTGGGGTACAGGGCAGAGATGCGGGGGGTGAGAGGATTCACCAGAGACAAAGTAGGGAGCAGAACAGGCAGACTGACGGAAATACACTGTTGAGGGGAGCAGTGGGCGAGACAGGAGAGGTCTGCTGTGCCATGTGGGTCTCTCTCTGGCTGGCCGGGGATGGAACTAGTGCTGCAGAAGCTGTGGATTGCTTCATAGTGCGGTGCTTAACCCCTTGTGCCACCAGGGAGGCCAGGGCAGTGAAATTATTTTGTGTGATACTCCAATGGTGGATACATACTGTTATAAATTTGTCCAAACCCACAGAATGTACACCAGGAAGGAACCCTAAGGTCAAACATGGGTTTTGGGTGGGGTGTGTCAGTGTAGCCTCATCCATTGTAACAAACGCCACTCTGGGTGTGATATAGATAGTGAGGTTGTGGGGAGGGACAGGGGACAAGGCAGGGGCTATATGGCAACTGTCTTGTACTTCGCACTCAAAAAAATGTTTAATAAAAGTAATATAAATTAATATTTTACTGACTGTAAATATGTTGTGTTGTGGCCCGTACCAATAGCACATCCAGATAATGGCACTTTGTTCAGTAAAGATTATGTTGTCCATAAGAAACAAGCTCGGAGCTCCACCAGGATGTGAAGACGACTGAGAGTCGGGATGGGGAAGCTGCTTTTCCTGTTAGGATGCGCAGCAAGGAGGGTCTTCTCTGGTGGCAGAAAAGTTCTATTTGCTGGTTCTCCTAGTTTGGTTCCAGGAACACAGGATCACATAGGAACATGCTGGAAATGCAAATTTTCAGCCCCAGCCCAGGCCTGTCGAATCAGAAACTCTCCATTTGGGCCTGGCAGCCCCAGTTCTGACAGCACTTCCAAGTTCTCAGAGGCCTTCTAACATTTGAGAGCAACTGCAATGGACCCTGCATTTGTTCTATGTAGTTTGCTGACTCCATGTTTTATAATAAGAAGGTTGAAACCTCCTTTTTAAGTTGCAAAGTGACGTTTTTTAAAAGGGCAATGGAGAATTGACTGTGTAAGCACCTGGAAATTTTATGTTTCTATGATGAGTATGAAATGACATACATCAAATCCTTAGTGTTGATTAACTCAGGAAAGTGGAGTTAAAAGGGAGAATTTATCACCTTTAGATTCCTTTCTATTGCTGACATTAGTCTGAATTGAATATCACTTTTATAAGTTAAAAGGATTAGCACGTTTAAAAGATTAAAATCACAAAAACTGGTCCTCCCTGGTGCTGCAAGGGGTTAAGCATCACACTATGAAGAAATCTGCAGCCTCTGCAGAATGAGTTCAATCCTGGCCCTCCAGGGAGCAACCCACAGGGTGAGGCAGTCCTCTCCCGACTCGCCCGCTGCTCCCCTCAGCAGTGTATTTCTGTCAGTCTGCCTGTTCTGTTCCCTGCTCTGTCTCTGGTGAATCCTCTCACCCACCACATCTCTGGCCTATACCCCAGCTCTTGTATGCATAAATAAATAAATCTTTAAAAAAAATCAGAAAGACAAAAGATTTCATTTAAAAAAAATAAAATCACAAAAACAGAAACTTGTGCTTCTAAATTGTGTTTTCCTGAACTTCATATCCCACTAGATGTTAACTGGTGGTCCAATTAAAATGTTTAATAGTCAAATAAATATTTTAAAAACTCTTAAAATTTTAAAACATAAATTAGTGTTTTAAATGCAAGAATCCCCAACTGTGTTTAATTAAGCCCAGTGTTCCCCATTTATTTTTGCTATGAATATTTTCTTCCCCCAATCTCTATTGACATCTAATAGCTGTGGTGCATAAGAGGCAGCTGGTACAGAGAGCCAACCAGGCACATCTCTTCCCAATTCTGAGTTCGGTGGCATGAAGTTAGTGACTTAAACCAGTGAGGGAATCAGGAAACACTGCAAAGAAGGAAACGCCAGCTACCCCAGCGCTGGGTTTTAAACATTTTTCAGCTCACCACTGAGACTGTGTTTCACAGGACAAGGGCAAGTTCTGCTGTACATTGATTCCTTTAACTGGACTCAAGCTGTCCTCAGTAATTTTTTAAATTGGATATACTCTTCATTTTATAATCCATTTTATAAGCCAACCAAAATTTTATTACTCTGTGCATACTACAATGTACTCCTAACAAGTCTTTAAGACACTGGAAGTTGAGTAAAAAGAAGTCTCCGGTCTCATTGCTGCCCAAGTCTAGAAAAACAAAACATCTTTAGTATTTTCAAAGCAGCAGGAAAAGACCATTGTAAATTTTTCTATTTATGACACTGCTTTTCCTAAGTAAGTATAACACTCTAATTTTTTTTCCAACCACAACCTCCACTAATCCCATCACATGGAAATAGCTCCAGTTCCCCCAAAGGCAGTGCAAAAACGTAGTTCTGGATTTAAATATTTTGGGCTGAGATGACCAATGTCCTACAGAACTTTGTCACACTCACATTGAGTCAATAAGCAACTTCCTGTGTCCCACTAGTTTGAAATAGGTTTCCAGTAAACACCATCCTTGCTGGCTCCCACGTCATTCCTTTATCCTCTCTCAGCTACTTTTACACCGACTCCTCAGAGATTAAAATCTAGTACACCCACGGAAGAGTGAGCAGAGGCCAGCGGCTGGAGGTTTTTGAACAGGTGGTGGCAATAAGAGTGTGACAACAGCTCAGTAAACCTCGTGTTTATAATAGAAGTTTCTAGTATTCCTCAATCTTAATACAAAGAGATAGATGTTATATAACCAAAATCCCCCAACTTACCCATCCTGGACTGCCAGCGGTCACCCTCCTGAAACAGAATTAGAACGCACCACACTGATCAACTACGTGACATGCGTCCATGGAAGTAGAAGTGGGAATCCCAGCAGTGGGAAAACAAACTCTGTTGCCCAGCAACGTGGTGGCCATGTGCCGTACAGTAACCCTTGAAGCTGGGATCCAATTCCTCGTCCATGGCGTCATGCATAGCAGAATTACAGGCTTGCATGCCACAGGCCTCTGAGTGAAAGAGGAAACTCCAACTGTGAATTGTGCTGTGGGCTTTCCTCATCATCAGTGGTAGAAACAGTCTGTGAGCCCAACTGATGCTCATTGCTGCATGGCTGTTCCCAGGGGGATGTCAGGCCATTTGCTAAACAGGGTGCACCATGGTGAAAATAGATGCAAAGGATGCTACTGTCTTGATAATCGATTCACAGGACCATTATACCTATGTCAATTTCATTTCTCGGAAATGACATCATATTTGCATTTAATTCAGGGGAAAATTAAATAACCACTGAGGTTTGAATTCATCCTCTCATAATACACACGGGTGCTTGCTCACCTGCACGCAATGGGAACCACCGAGTGAGTCTAGGAAAAGTCAAAAATGTTTCTAGTCCTTTCCTCCACTGTTAAAGCACCTTGCATGGGAAAAAATGTTTGTTTGCAGTAATTATTCTGGATGTCTCCATGCTGACAACAAGGCTTCAGACATCTTTTGAGGCTCGGGTGAGAGGCATACACGTTCTTATTTTATAATGAGACACAAGGGAGTTGCAGAGATCCTCTGAGGAGTTCTTGGGATGATTACATGTTCTTGAACATGACCAGTTACTCCCAGTTTCACTCCTGATTTCCTCCTGTGGTCCTATACCTCTCATTCATATACTGTGACTGTCAACAAGTTACCTCAATAAAAAAAGAAGAAGAAAATGAAACGATCCACAGCCAAGTGTTAAATAATAATCTCAGTGGTATTTTGTCCTCATCGTGCTAGCTCATATTTAATGTGCAGATTTTCCAGGTTCTTGGCACTATTTTATCTATTCCTTTAAGCAACCCTATGGGCAAGAAGCTTCCAGAGGATACTGAACTTCAGAAAAAGTAAAGGCTTGCAGGATGCACAGCCAGCAAGAGGTGGAGCTAAGATTTTAATTGTCTTCCTAAAAAAACCTGACAGGGAGTAATAGCTGCTCCTCTTTATTCTTGCTGCTGTGATTTCTGGAGCCAGCGGACATGGGCCCTGTATTCCACGTGGACTTGTGAAGATTCAAAACAGAAAAATCAGGGTCCTGCCTTGTTTCTTGTTGGGTATTCCTGCTGGGAATGAACCTGCTGATGAAGCTCCGAAAGGCCTCAGGTTTTCTCCTGAGAGTGTGGTCCCAAGGAAGAGGGCCAGGGCCGCGGGGGCTGAGACGGGCTGACTTTTGTGCTGTCTCTGTGAGATCTGCCCTGGCACTCACATTTCCTGGCCCTTAACTCGATGAATGTTGGCAAAGCACAGCGGCTATTGCTTGCAGGAGTCTTAATGAATGATTGCATTCTGATTGACTTCTGGCCCAGACAAAATGCTGAATATACTCGTCCTCAATACCCAGTGGCACTTCCGCTAATGCCTGTCTGCGTGAGAGCAAAGTCTCTAATATATTTCATGTTAAACTCAGTAACTAAAGCACAAACCACCCAATGTAACTCTCGGCTTGTGGAGAGATGTCAAGATAATGGGTGTGGTAGTTTCTTCTCCACTTTGCTGTGGATCTAAAACTGCTGTAAAAAAAACAAAAATTAAAAACAAAGGAGTCAATTTACCACATAAATATTATGTGCCCCGCCAAATTGATAGCCCAATGAAAATAAAATGAATACCAGTCTTTCTTAGTAACCACAGTTTTGTATCATGAATTTAGTTTTATATATATATTTACTCCTAGAAATAAAATGTTTCTCCATCTTTCTTAAGTGTGTCTATACAATAGCAATAGCATTTCATGCCAGAATCCTCACTCACGAAAACTCAGGGGTGGAAGCTCTGAGTAGATTAATAGATTGCTCATTCAGATGTGGATAAATGGTCCAGGTGGAGGGCTACAGGCATTTTTAGATTTTCTGTGTGTCCTCGGGAAAGTAGCTTTGTCTTCCTGTATCTGTAGACTGGGGATAATGGCATCCCCTTGTTCAAAAATTGTTGTGAAAATAAAATAAAATAGTGATTGTGAATGTTTCCTAATGTAGAGTTCTATATAAAAATTAATATCTATTAATATGCTGGAGAAACTTGTGGTGTTCCAATGTTTTAGTCATAAGTCTTTTGTGTTTTATGAGTCTTGGGGAAGGAAAACAATTGAGAAATATGTATTTTGTAGACATTTTTTCTTTGATAACCAAAAAGCTAAAACATTTCTGAAAATGTATTTTGCAAAGAATTCTATTTTCCATATTTGTTTGGAAATTCCCTCCTTGATCTTTTCTAAGTAATATTATTTCATTATAAATAATGAAAATTAGAAAACATACTAAAAGGAACAAGAAAAATTACCTGTAATATCACCGAAACATAAATGCTATTAATATTAGCCACATTTAATTTTAGATGTTTCTCTCTACATTTCTATTTTTTACCAAAAATGCAACCACATTATTTACTGAACTAAGTGTAATAGTTTTTTCTTATATAATCGTAATAAATGCCATTACTTTTCCTTTTCTTGTCAATAAATATCCTTCAAAAATATTACTGTACACAATCTCAAGTATAATGGTTTAATCTATGGCAAAAAGAATTTAACTATTCCTCTATGAAAGGGTATTTTATTTATATTGTTTTTCTAGTTAAAGTATCCTGCAATTAAAGCGTGCAAATATAAATCTTCAACCAGTATGTCTCCAAAAGTGGAAAATGCTGTGAAAAAATATGTATTTTTTAAGACCCTTGAAAGATATAGCCAAGCTGCTTTTCTCATAAATTATATCCATTTACACATCCACCAACCCAAGAGAGCTCATCTCAACAAATGCTTGTTAACATAGGTTATTATATTTTCATTTGCTCACTTGAAAGCTAGAAAGTTTCTCATTTTACTTTTTGTGTGTTGTTATTTATAATGAGGTTGAAATTAAGTACGTATGTTCTATAACTAATAATTATTAATAAGTTACTTGTTTAATTGGTCAATAACAGCAGTTAAAATCACTCACAATGATTAAATTGTGCTAAAATGACTTTGAATTTCCAAAAGCCTTCAACTACTCTGTTAGTGATACTATATTATTCCATGCATGAGGATTTTTGACTAATCTGTCTTTGTTACTAATTTTTAAATATTTGATTAAAATGATCCTCTTTATAGTATTTAATGTTTTTTGCTTTAAACTTTATATATAAGAATATCATTTTCTTTGGATTTGCTTTGCACTTATTTGTCAATATTTCCTAGTAGATATGTTTTAGGTAAGGAAATTATAAATAGCATATCACTGGATTTACTTTTTCATTGGAAAGTTGAGCTAAAACACAAATGCAATAGCCCAACTCATATTTGGTCATGCTTCTCACAATATGCATTCTTGCTTTGTCCTTTTTAAAAGACTTGCATGCTCTGTGTTTCCTTATTATTTTGCCTGATTAGAGATGCGGGGTGGCGGGGAGAGTGGAGTTTTTGTTTTCATTGTTGTTTATTATCTTTACTTTGGAAAGAATAAAGTCTATACTTCTACCTTAAGTAATGCCTTAAAGTTTTCAAAACTACTACACACATTAAGGTAACCATAAGAATTAAGAGTAACATAATCATGATGGAGAATAAAATACTTTCTGCCTCTGCTTTCAAATACTTCCCAATTCTAAATCTTAGTTTCATGTACTAACTCTTTATACATTTTCACTCCTTCAATATCTCGTGCAATAAAAGCCATTATTCTGAAAGGAAACCAAGATTTGTAACTCATGTGGTTCTTTAAACATAATAGATTAATGATTTACAAAGAATTCAGACAAGTGGCCCTTTGTCGTCACTACTTCCCTTGTCAAGAATTTTGGTCTTCGACATAATTTGAATTGTCATAACTTGGATTTTCAAATGATTTATTCACGCTGCCTAGATAGCATCTTTGAAGTCCATGTATCAAAGAACGCCTTTCAGTTGCATCCACATATTGATAACTTGACTGGGTATAAAATTCTTTCAAGTCTCTGTAGTAAAAATAGTAACAATGAAGAAAGAAGAAGGAGGGAGAGGGACTAGAGTGGAAAAAGGAGAAGAGAAGGAAGAGGAGAAGGGGAAGCAGGAGAAAAGTATATGTTTTGCTTACTATGTCTCTTTGAAATCCTTTAAATACATTAATTCAATTAACCAAAGAAAGTGCATTTATTATCTGCATTGCATCTTTAATTTAAATGAAGTAGCATGAGGATAAGGACTTTGCCTGAGCTCAAATAAGTAACATTCAGAAAACCAAGTTTTTTGTGATCAGTCCTTTATCATTAGTGTTGTGTGCAAAGTTTTTCTCCCAGTCAGTGGGGTTTCTCTTTGTTTTGGTTACTGTCTCTTTCGCTGCACAGAAGCTCTTTAATTTGATGTAGTCCCAGCTGTTTATCTTTGCCTTCACTATCACTGCTTTGGGTGATGTGTCTGTAAACATGTCTTTGAGGTGCATGTCATGTAGTGTTTTGCCTGTATTTCCTTCTATATACTTTATGGTTTCAGGTCTTATGTCTAGTTCTTTAATCCATTTTGAGTTGGTTTTTGTGCATGGGGTTTATAGCAGCATTATTTACAGTAGCTAATCTATGGAAACAACCCAAATGCCCAAAAATAGATGACTGGATCAAGAAGATGTGGTACATATACACAATGGAATATTACTCAGCCATCAAAAAGATAAACGCATGCAATTTGCAGCAACATGGATGGAGCTGCAAGGGATCATGCTCAGTGAAATAAGCCAGAAAGAAAAAGAAAAATACTGAATGGTCTCACTCATAGCAGGAATTTAGAAAACCTAAATAAGAGACCAGGAAAAAGACTAATTATAATAAAGTAAAAATCAAAATCAACAACCAACTATAAA